GCTCAGGGCCGGCAGTCTCCTGCCTTGCATGAAGAATTGATAAAGGAAAGAGAGACTCCATGGGTTCATGTTTGCTTGTGGTATGGAAGCGACGAATTGTGCTGTCTATAGCGAAAGTGATTGCCCCACTAGTTCTGTCTCTACAGACATCTAGAGTTTAGATACTCCTTGTTTGGTCCATTCCGTTACTCTATGGACATGGGTCGCCAAGTAATATTGTTTAAAATCAGGCAAGGCCAGTCCACCATCTGCTTTCGGGCATGTGAGGGTGTTGTGGCTTATCTGAGCTTTGGTTTTGTGCTAGATAAACTTTAGGACCAGTGAGTGAAGGGAAGTGAAAAAGGCTTTGGGTATGGTGATGGGTAATGTCTGGAATAGGTATAGTATTCAGGGTAAAAGGGTCATCTTTATGGTCCCTATCCTACCGATCCAGGATATGCCTGGCCTGGACCAGTCCTCTAGGTCTCTATGTACCCAGAAATTATCCTGATGATTTGGTATTTAAGACCCAATTACAAGTAGAAAGACTTGAAAGGAAGGATTTAATAGCAAATTGAGGTAAAAATAAGAACACGAGAAGTGTTAACAAGAATGGATTTGACTTTGCTTTTCTGACAAGATATAACGGCAAGGCAAACCTGATTGAAAAATGTAAATGGAAAAACTGGCCGATTTTATTACAAGATCAATACTTAAAGAAAATTTTACCCACAAATCCGAAAGTGTTATACAAGAAAACAAATAATTTGAAAAGTATTTTAGCCCCCAGTATACTCCCTAAAAAAGAGGTTAAGAAGGATCAGTCTAATTTTTTATCTGAGAAACCTAAGGGTTTTTTAAATGCGGTAGATGCAGCACATGTAAGTTTCAAGTGAATAAGACTACAGAATTCAAAAGCTCGGTTACGAATTAAACTTTTAAAATCAAGCACTTTATAAACTGTCAGAGCCGATTTGTAGTGTATCTGTTACAATGCAAATGTGTCATCCAATATATAGGACGCACCATTAGGAAATTACATGTGATATTTCTGGAACACTCTAATGGAATTAATAATAAAAACATGAAACATAGTGTTCCTAAACATTTCACTTTGGTCCCCTCGGGTCTTAATACAGACTTGGATATATTGGCCTTTATGGATTAAGAATATACTAATAATTTTCTCTTTTTTTCTTGTGTTTTTGTTTTGTACTTTACCTACATTTCACTATTATGTATTTATTTTTATTATATTTTTTATCTCTTTTTATCTCTATTTTTATCTCTATTTTTATGTGTTATGCTTAACTAGTGAAAGTAAGAAAACTCCATGGTGACAGAATGTTCCATCTTGAATAACTTTTGGGATCCTGAAGAATAAATAATCATTGATCGACTTCCTGTTATGTTACATATAATTTGACATAATTTTATATATGTTTATACATGTATATATTATATAATGTTGGTCTATGTCCATCTCCCTTGATATGAGTGTTTTTGATCTGCCTTTTTCTTATTTGTCCTTATGTGATTTTGTTTCGTGTCTTATGAGTACGATGGAAGAGCTAGATTCTGTTTGTTAGACTTAGTTTTATTTTTATTTACCGTATATACTCGAGTATAAGTCGACCCGAATATAAGCCGAGGCCCCTAATTACACCACAAAAAAATGGGAAAACTTATTGACTCGAGTATAAGCCTAGGGTGGGAAATGCAGCAGCTACTGCAAAATTTCTAAATAAAATTAGATCCCAATAAAATTACATTTGAATATTTATTTACAGTGTGTATATAATGAATGCAGTGTGTGTGTTTGTGTGTAGTGTGTGTATATAATGAATGTAGTGATGTCGCGAACGTGAATTTTTCGGTTCGCGAATGGCGAACGTGAACTTCCGGAAATGTTCGCGAACCCGACGACCATGGCGAACTGCCATAGACTTCAATGGGCAGGCGAATTTTAAAACCCACAGGGACTCTTACTGGTTGAAGGGGGGGGGAGGAGACCTACTCTCCCCCCCACCCCTGGGCGGCGGGTTGGGGCCATAAAGATAATGAGGGGGGGATCTACTGTCCCCCCCCAGCCCCCACTCCTGAGCGGTGGGTGGGGGCCCTAATAACAATAAGGGGGGAACCTATTGTCCTCCCGCCGCGGCCCTAATAACAATAAGGGGGGGACCTATTGTCCCCCCCGGCCCCCACCCCTGAGCGGTGGGTGGGGGCCCTAATAACAATATGGGGGCCATATTGATAATGAGGGGGGGACCTACTGCCCCCCCCGTCCCCCACCCCTGCGCGGCTGGGGGGGGCCATATTGATAATGAGGGGGGGGACCTACTGCCCCACCCGGCCCCCACCCCTGCGCGGCGGGTGGGGGCCATATTGATAATGAGGGGGGGGACCTACTGTCCACCCCCCCTCTGGCCCCCACCCCTGGGCGGCAGGTGGGGGCCATAAAGATAATGAGGGGGAGACCTACTGTCCTCCCCCCCCCGGCCCCCACCCCTGGGCTGCGGGTGGGGGCCCTAAGTAAATTCCCCCCCAAGGTGACTAGGGGTCCCCAAGCCCCTAGTCACCCACCCCCCAGAATAAAAAGTCCCTACCTACCCCCCTCACCCTAAAAAATAGTGAGGGGGGAATAAAATAACTAACCTGTAAAATAAAAGTAAACTTATCATTCGACGTCTTCTTTTTTTCTCAAATCTTCATTTTTTAGCCCCAAAAAAGGCCAAATAAAAAACCATCATAACCATCGAATTGAAAATAAAATAAAAATCCCGAGCGCAAAAAAAAAAACCAGATGAAAAAGAAAAAACCCGAGCGCAAAAAAATAATCCATCTCCACCCGTGGAGGGCTCCGCACAGACTGAGCTCTGCAGGGCGGGGGAAGGCTTATAAAGCCTTGCCACGCCCTGCAATTAGGCTAAGAACACTCTGATTGGTGGGTTTAAGCCAATCAGAGTGCTCTTTGTCATTTTACACAGCGTGGGAAAATTCAAAAGAACTTTCCCACGCTGTGTAAAATGACACAGAGCACTGTGATTGCAATGTAAGTTGCCATAATACAGACATTGACTCAAGTATAAGCCGAGTGTGGGGTTTTCAGCACAAAAATGTGCCGAAAAACTCGGCTTATACTCGAGTATATACGGTATGTAACTATTTGAATGTCATAGTGATACAAATGGACTCTTTTATAAATGTATATATATTTTTTATATATATTGTTTATAAATATATATTTATATACAAAAAAAGTTCTATGTACAGGCACTCTTTTATCCGTATTGGTGCAAAGTATCAAGGTGGCCCTTAAAATATACAAAATACCAAAAAATGATACTGCACTAAAAAATTTCAGATAGAATTCATTACTTCATTTAATAATTCATTGTTATGTTATATGAATATAATTCATTAATTACAAAAAATTTGATAATATATACACTTGAATCAAACTATATGTCTTAGTAGAAACAGTACATTATGTGCCAACTAATATAACTCCATGTGACTGAAGATCCCTAACCACAGATTTGTAAATAATCAAAAAATGCTGAACTGCATTACTATATCTTAGAGTCCAAAAGTACCATCCAAAAAAAGGAAAAAAGGTAAATCAAAAAAATAAGAAAAAATAGAAAAAAATGTAAAAGTCTATGAAAAAGATCGAAAAATAAGAAAATTTAAAAAAATGAAAAAAGTGAACAGTGAGCAGCCAGTGGCGCACGAATCGGATCGGAATTTCATTCATTAGAATGAAATTTCAAACCGACCTAAAAGTACCATATGTCATCCTAACATGAATGAACAAAGTAGTCCCTACTTTGTCTTATGTTTTATAGACAACAGGAGCAGACAGGAAGAAATGAAGAACAGATCATGACAGAGGGAGAGAAGAGGAATCGATTAAAATATAAATAGCACTCACAAAGGTAGAGCCATGCCAGGCTCTATATAATGGGCCCCAGGGTGCCACTACTGGCTTCGAATATTCACCAGCCAACTGAGTAGAATAATTCTTCCAAATATTTTATTGTTGAAAATAACAAAATTTTAAAATAGTAGGAAATAAAGGACAGTTCAAAGCAGTGTGCAATACACTACCTCATAAAAAGAAAAGTCCTTGTCAATAAGCAAGCACGTTTGGACTGTTTACTACTGGCACTATCCTCATTGGTGGTAGTAATAGCAGAGAAGTTAGCTCTGGTGGTAGGTTATGACAAATGTGCAGTATCTTTCCTTGGATCAAGAAGCTATTACCCCACACCTTTTGTTTTTGCTGTTGATCCAAAAGAAGTCTATACATATGTTTAAACAGCAATTGGATAAATACTTGCAAAACCAATGTTCAAGGATATCATTTTTAATTAGTGGGTTTTAGAGCCATCTTTAACATGGGACATATGGGGCAGCTGCCCTGGGCCCAGTTACTCCTGTGGGGCCCAAGGCAGCTGACCCATGGGCCCCTCTGCCTTTAAAAAATAATTCTCCATCGATTCAGATGGGCCCCACACTCTAAGGAGTCCCACCAGGTGGCCCATGCAATTAGGGCCACCTGGTGGGCTTGTACCAGCATGGGCCCAGTTGGGTGCGGTGGCCCTTTAACAGCGCGCCCGGGCCCCTTGCTTTTCGGCAGCCAGCTGGTCACTTCCTCCCATAAAGAGAGCTGCTGCGCGGGAGGGTGCAGGAGCAGCCGCGCGTGAGTCTCAAGCACCACACTGGACCTCAGGGAAGCCACCCTCCAGCAAAAGGTTGGAAACTGGAGGGTGGGTGAAATATGTAAATTTTACATGTATGTCCATATGTCTGCCTGTGTGTGTGTGTGTCAGTATGTCTGCATGTGTATCTGTGTGTGTGTCAGTATGTCTGTGTGTGTATGTGCCAGTATATCTGTGTGTGTCAGTATGTTTGTCATTGTATGTGCCTGTGTGTGTCAGTATGCCTGTTTGTGTGTGTGTGTGTGTGTGTGTCAGTATGTCTGACAGTGTATGTATATGTGTGTCAGTATGTCTGTCAGTGTATGTACCTGTGTGTGTCAGTATGTCTATCAGTGTATGTGCCTGACACATACATACACACAGGCACACACTGATAGACATACTGACAAACACACACAAGCACATATACAGACATACTGACACACACAGACACGCTGATAGACATACTGACACACACAGATACATACACTGATAGACATACTGACACACACACAGGCACATTTACAGCCATATTGACACACACATGCAGGCACATACACTGAAAGACAGTGTGTGTGTGTCAGAATGTCTATATAGGTGCCTGTGTGCGTGCGTGTGTCAGTATGTCTATCAGTGTATGTGCCTGTGTGTGTGTGTCAATGTGTATGTCAGTATGTTTGTCATTGTATGTGCCTAGGTGTGAAAGTATATGTCAGTGTGTGTGTCAGTATGTCTGTCAGTTTATCTGTTTATGTTTCTATATGTGTCTGTATCTGTATGTAGTCAGTGTGTGTATCTGCATGTGTGCAAGCGTGTGTACTTGAGCATCTGAGCACCAACATTAAATAGAAATACACCCCTCCATTCCATCTTCAACATTACATAGAAACACACCCTGCATTGAAACGTCAAAACTACAAATAAACACACTCCTGCATTGAAACGTCAACACTACATACAAACACACCTCTGTCTTAAACACCAAAATTATATTTAAACACACCCATACATTCAAAACCCAACACTAGACATAAATGCTTGCTTGCATTTAAACTCTAACACCACATACAAACACATTCACACAAACATACTCCAGAAAAAAACATGCTTACATTTAAACACACAAACACAGTGCTAAATACAACCCTGCAAGCATGGGAAATTGGCAGAGCCCCAGCTGTCAAAGCATTGTTGGAGTTACACGACAGATACGGTTCTACCTTTTGTCCAACCTTGCAATTTGGGGGCCGAATAAAATTCTTGCACCAGGGCTCTTTCTACTTTAGTTCTGCTACTGCATTGGGGTTGAAAGCGTGATTGCATGCCTGGGAGTGTTCCCACGGCCCAATCAATACCTAATAAGCAAAAACAAATGTAAGAAAGGATGAAATTGATGGTGTAACGAACGCTGGTATAGTAGATACTCGTTTGCCTATTTCCTCCCGAACTGCCTGAGCCATTATAGCTCACATTTCAGGTGTTGATTCGAACGATTCTCCATACGAATGGCAGTCTCCCAAGTGTATTCTCCCAGTAACGTAGACAGGTACCAAACATCAGCCAAAACTAGATGAAGGGTGTAACAGGAATGATTTTAATGGGTGCCACACTGGCTTTTTTTATGCAAGTCCCCATGCAAGGGTTACTCCCACATGGACCTTGTTGGGGACTCCAATACAAAGTTATACACCAATCACAATAGGGTTACAAAATATAACACTCCCACAGTAAACACATAACCCCTCATCTCTGCATGGGAGATAATTGGGTCAGATACTGCAATAACTCAATTATCTCCAGGCAGAAAAACACATTTTCCCCTAAAACTTCAAAAGCACCCCAAAATACATAACATCTCCATGAATGCCACGAACTAGGGAAACAAATGCTACTTTGAGCCAGGGGGTACTGTTCGTGAATTTATTCGGTTTTGAGACTTTCCGAAATAGACTGACCGCACAAACTGAACTCATGGAACTGTTTCTGGGCAAGAGCCTCATGTGTGATCGGCCCTGATAGCCCTGATCTGGGTGACTAACATCCAAAAATCACCCAGATCAGTTGAGGGGTCTGGAGTTCCATGGAGGTCTTAGTTTGGCCGATCACACATGAGGCTCTTGCCCAGAAACAGTTCCATGAGTTCAGTTTGTGCGGTCAGTCTATTTCGGAAAGTCTCAAAACCGAATAAATTCACGAACAGTACCCCCTGGCTCAAAGTAGCATTTGTTTCCCTAGTTCGTGGAAACAAAACTACTGAACAGCGCTCTCCTAGCTGGTCAGGAAAAGGAAGCAGGCGTTCATATGGTTTGACAGGTGTTCGGGAAGTCAAGTGTCCGATTTTGGTTCCAGACACTCGATGACCAAGTCCCGCTGCCTCCTTTCGTGTGAACAAGTTGGCCGCCATTTTCTCTTGCACATGGCGTTCGACTATACGAACGGCGGCCACACAAGTAGAGCACTAATTCCTTGATCTCTTTGTAGTTAACGAGCCATGGGAGTCTATGTTCGGTAGGTTCAACTGCCGAACGGAAAAAAGATAAATAACCGAAATAACAGGGTAATTTTTTCACAGATGGATGCATGTCTCTTTTCAGCTTTGTAATTATGTAATTACATAGTATAATGTTATAATCTACTTGCTATGCGTGACTGATACTTGTAATGCTGTCAACTCAAAATAAAGATTTAAAAAAAAAAAAAAAGTGTATTCTTGAATATTATGCTTTTGCAAGTATTCATCCAGTTACTGTTTAAACATCTATACAGACTCTGATAAAATCACCTGTTCAGGGAGCGAATTCCACACCCTTATTGTTCTTACTGTAAAAAAACTCTTTCCTTTGCCTTAGACTAAATCTCCTTTCTTCCAGTCTAAATGCTTGACCTTGTGTCCTATGTATAGTTCTTTTTATGAATAGATTTCCAAGCATTGTTTTGTATTGGCCCCGAATGTATTTATATAATACTATCATATTATTTTTCTAAAGTAAAGAGATTTAAATTTGTTAACCTTTTTTCATTACTAAAATGTTCTATTTCTGTTATTAATTTTGTAGCCCGCCTCTGCATTTTTTCTAGTGCCATAATATAAATTTTTAGAACAGGTGCCCAAAATTGCAAAGCATAGTCAATGTGTGTTCTTACAGTGATTCATAAAGAGGCAAAATTAATTTTCATCATGAGAATTAATGCCCCTTTTATACACGACAATAGCTTACTTTAATAATAACCTGCTCACCTTGTATTACTTACGGAGTTTTGTGTCATCTGCAAACACTAATACATGACTTTTAAAAAGAACAATGAGTAAGCGCTAAATAACACAAATTAGCATCAACCCTATAAGGGAATCCCTCAAGAACCCTTAGGATAAAACACAAAAAAGTAAAAAATACAAGAAAGGGCTGCGCTTGGATAAAACTTTGAATGATACTAAAAGTCCAGATAAAGTCAGTGGATAAAAAGAGAAAGTCTTATCTGTCAATCTGGCAATGTCCGTGATACTTGGTCCGAAACAGTAATCTTGCTTTCTTTATATCTTCCTTATGAACTGTCTCATATGCAAGAGATAAAAAAAAAAATACAAAGCCAAAATAGTGTAGTATATCTTGAGAAAAGGAAGTTGAAATGTAAAACTTGATTGCAAACTCACATTTAAAAGAGCTAGAACCTGCTCTGGTATAGAGGGCGTACAGCGGTTTAGATCCCCGCTTACAGGATATGGAATGACTTTCCTTCGCGTACTACCTCCTTTAAAGACATATTTACCCATATTGATAACGCCGATTGGCGAAACGCGTTTATGGTTTTTATATTGTGTAATTTTAAATATTAAAGTATATTTGGTAATCTTTTATCGTACCATTTATCTTTTTATACACATATATTTATTATTGTTACCTGGCATCATTCCTTTTTACTCGCTGGACTATTCCTGGATTATTCCACCGAGTAAAAAGGAATGATGCCAGGTAACAATAAAAAATATATGTGTATAAAAAGATAAATGGTACGATAAAAGATTAACAAATATACTTTAATATTTAAAATTACACAATATAAAAACCATAAACGTGTTTCGCCAATCGGCGTTATCAATATGGGTAAATATGTCTTTAAAGGAGGTAGTACGTGAAGGAAAGTCATTCCATATCCTGTAAGCGGGGATCTAAACCGCTGTACGCCCTCTATACCAGAGCAGGTTCTAGCTCTTTTAAATGTGAGTTTGCAATCAAGTTTTACATTTCAACTTCCTTTTCTCAAGATATATTACACTATTTTGGCTTTGTATTTGTTTTTATCTCTTGCATATGAGACGGTTCATAAGGAAGATATAAAGAAAGCAAGATTACTGTTTCGGACCAAGTATCACGGACATTGCCAGATAAGACTTTCTCTTTTTATCCACTGACTTTATCTGGACTTTTAGTATCATTCAAAGTTTTATCCAAGCGCAGCCCTTTCTTGTATTTTTTACATGACTTTAAATGCCTATTTCAAGAAGCGGTCCCAGAACAGAACCCTGAGGGATGCCACTTACCACTTTTGTCCAGCTTGAATATTTACCATTAATGACAACTCTCCGTACTCTATCTTTAAGCCAATATTCTACCAATCACTATTTTGTGCAAGTTTTGACAGCAATCATTTGCATATATTTTGCCATATATACTTAATGTATACTGAAGAAAATAGTTATTTAAAATAATAATAAAATATGTAAGCAGGAAAGGTACATGCAAATTACTCTGGTTACTAGGTACATCATGGGGATGTTACCTTAGCCCAAAATCCAGGGGTTGTTACTATTAGCCAATCTAATGGTACTCATTTTATCTACCTTGGAATGATGAAGGGCTGAGTCAACTGCTGGGATTTGAACCTGCAACCAAAGGGTTGAATAGATGCTACTGATGATGCATTAGCCCATTAAGCTCTCACTGGCAATTAGACATACTATTTATCTTTAGTGTTTTTTTTCTCCACTATTCAACATTTAGTGACTGTCAAGTAACCATCATTCTTGTTTATTTTATTTCTTTTGACAACTCTTGATTGGACAGGAGATCTAGCCAACATGATTGGGCAGACCTCTTGTTCATCATGAGAAACTAAGCTGCTCATTAACACTCAGCCAAAAATAAAATGGGCTATTCTCCATTCCATTTCCTTTTTTATAGTGCCAGAAATGGAACTATTAATTAAAAACAAACTGAACATTTCTAGGCTCACATGAGTTGGGACACCTGAGATTCTGCCACATGGCTAATTCTTTTAGTCACCTGATCGACCCAAATTCAGCCCAATTACAGTTCAGTACAAAACTAATCTCTAAGCCTATAAATTAACAACAGTTAAATGATTGCTCATTATGTTCATTAAATGTACACTCCAGTCTCCTAAAGCACGTAAGCTTGATAAAGTGCTTTATGGATTATCTGTATGTCCCTTTAGACTTATTTTTAAAATCCTAATTCTAATTGTACCCTGTAGGTCTCAGATGAAGGTGCATGTAGGTCTACACCGAAACGAGCGTCGGGTTGTTTGTAATGGGTGTTTTTTTTGGGCACTTTACCTCACGTTTTATTTCACTATCTTGACATCATGCTGATGTAACTGTCTCACTTAATTTTAATTTTCCTCGTATGCCTGTCTAGTAAGATTTGAAGTGAGAGAGTCTGTATTTGACATATCTTCACCTTTTACTTTTAGGTACTTTTATTTTTACAGCTTAACTACAAGCCTCTAGTATCACTATCCTCTCTACTTTCATGGGGCATAAGCAATACCTTTATATTATTAGCACTATGTGGATCGACCACTTGCAATAAAGCCTGTTTTTATATGTATATTTTTCCATAAGTGCTTTTTGGTTTTGGCCCCCATTGCCTTTATTCTACTTAATGAATAAAATATAATAAATAGTACTATTAACAAGCTGCTACAGACTAAAGTGAATGTTACATCTTAAGAGAAAACCCATAACACACAATTAATTAAATAGAAGTGGAGCACAAAAGGTAACAATATTCTCTAAAATAATTGATAAAAAAAATGTATGTATATGTATATATATATATATATATATATATATATATATATATATATATATATATATACACACACACACACACACACACACACACACACACACACTTATAAAATCCACTGGCATTGGAAATAAAAGAGCTAGTATTAGGTTTAATCTCTTTAGTAAAATTAGTGGTTAAAATTGACTTAAAATTGGGTGCACCTCTAAAAACAATAATAGGTTTATCTTGTATAATGTTTAAGTATTTCATCTTATTTTAATAAATGCCAGGGCTGGCTGGTGCTTATGTCATACGTGACGGCTGCTAGCTGGCCACACATACACAATCTTTCCCCATCTTTTGTTTGGCGAGTTCCTCCAGCCGCATTATGGCTTCATCATGGGTGGATGAACTACATTTCCCATACTCCCTATGATGCCTACTACCCTTGCATCACGTAACACTTTACAATTTACTATTTCTACTCAATACACCATCATTTTTAGAGATGCTTGCACTCTTAGCATCTTCTATACATACATTTTCTGTTTTAATTATCCTTTGTATATTTTTATGTGTTTACTATATACCAATTCCTGATTGGCTAATTGCATTTTTGGTGCCAATTTTACATAATTTGACCCATATTTAAACACCCTTTGCCAGGTTACTACTTTTACCCCATTTGAAGAAGCCACATATGGTGAAACGCATAATGGTTATTTTAATTTGTGTATTTTAGATCAACAAAAGTCTTTTGGTTATTTCCTGTGCCAATCCTCTTTTTATTGTATTTTCTATGCACTTTTATTATTTTTATCCTTCCTGGCATTTTACTGTTCCTGTACTCAAAAAAAGGTGGTGATCATACCACCAACACTTAATCAAAAGAGCTCTAATGCTTGTGAGTATTATTTTACCTACTTTTTTTTTTTTTTACTATTGTTATCATAATTGAGAGCACTGTTGTTGCCTTTTCTATTCCTTTTTGGAGCCTTGGAAAACCAGACGGTGTTGACGGATGCACTTTTCTCTATATATATCCTGTAAGCGGGGATTATACCGCTGTACGCCCTTCATACCAAAGCTGGCCATAGATCTTTTAAATGTGAGTTCTCTACCTCTTGCTATTTTATTGCATTTTGGATTTTAGATTTATTGCACTATTGGTAACCTCCGTTTCTCTTTTTATCTCCATATAACGAACAAACACCTTGAAACATTCTGACACACATTTCCACTGAAGAGTCTACCCATCTACACTCTGTCAAGTATCCCTGACTGTCTATTGCTGCTCTAGTGAGACTTTTTGATATTGGGGTCCCCCTCCTGCCCGGCTCTGGAAAGGGGAAAGGGGTTTAAACTTACCTTTTTCCAGCGCTGGACGGGGAGCTCTCCTCCTTCTCTCCTCCTCCGATCCTCCTCCTGGGCTGAATGCGCACACGCGGCAAGAGCTGCGCGCGCATTCAGCCCGTCGCATAGGAAAGCATTTACAATGCTTTCCTATGGACGCTTGCGTGCTCTCACTGTGAAAATCACTGTGAGAAGCACGCAAGCACCTCTAGTGGCTGTCAATGAGACAGCCACTAGAGGATTAGGGGGAAGGCTTAACCCATTCATAAACATAGCAGTTTCTCTAAAACTTCTATGTTTATAAAAAAATGGGTTAACCCTAGAAGGACCTGGCACCCAGACCACTTCATTAAGCTGAAGTGGTCTGAGTGCCTAGAGTGGTCCTTTAAGTATATTGGGAATTGGCCAACATTATGAAAAGAGATAGAAATTACTTTTATGAAACTCTAAAATACACATTTAAATATAGATATAAATATCTATAAAACTATTATATAAAAAGAGAATTATAAAAAAAATATAAAAACACTTTTAATTTTTTTTTTTTACAAATTTCAAAGTCACTATTTAATCCATTTGGAATTTGTGTCTATTTCAATGAGTTCAGTTTTGTATGGATGTTGGCATTCTTTGCTATATCGTTCACCCTTTGGAAGATAACATCCAACAGTGTTCAAAACTTGCTCCAGAATAGCTGTCTGTTTTCTCGTTGTTTTTTTTCCCCATGCTTATTCCTTGAAGAGAGAATTGTCAGGAATTCAAAGTTAATTCAATATTTAAGGCCAAAACAGCCAAACTGGAAAATATTCTCGAAGTCAAGGAAGTATGCTTGCATTTTGGCTACTCTGTCCTTAAATATTGAAATGCACTTTGAATACCTGACAATTCTTACTTTAGAGAATAACTCTTTCTATGTAAGAACATTTAAAGGGATTCTCCAGTGCCAGGAAAACAAACTATTTTTTTCTGGCACTAGAGGATCCTGGAGTACCCCCCCCACCCCCCCCGAATGTAAATAAAGCTCTGGGGACTGACGATATTCACCCACGAGTACTTAAGGAGCTAACTAGGCTGTATTTAATTTTTCAAGATTCATTTGTTTCAGGTATTGTACCGGAGGATTGGAGGAAGGCAGATGTCGTTCCTATATTTAAAAAGGGTTCAAAATAATTTACTGGAAATTATAGACCTGTGAGCTTAACTTCTGTGACTGGGAAATATTTGAAGGGCTACTAATGGATAATATTCAGGAATTCATTGGGAAGAACTTTGTTATTAGCAATAATCAACATGGGTCATGTCAAACTAACCTAATTGCATTCTACAAAGAAGTAAGTAGAAGTATAGATCAGGGTGTTGCAGTGGATGTGATCTACTTGCATTTTTCCAAGGCATTTGATACGGTTCCTCACAATAGGTTAGTCTTCAAACTAAAAGAAATTAGTCTAAATGAATATTCTTGTTCTTGGGTAGAACATTGGCTTAAGGATAGAGTACAACGAGTTGTCATTAATGGTAAATTTTCAGGCTGGACAAAAG